ACTCAGAAATCAGGGTAGACTTGGGAGTAAAGTCACAGGTGGAAGGTGATTGGTCCGTCCCATAAGAAATAAAAGAGGAGGGAAAGGGGAATGGGCTTTTGCAGGAAACAATTTGTTTGTTCGGTCTTTAGATTTATTTCAGGAGTGTGAAAATCTATCCGTGAATCTCAGAAACTCTGTGTCTTTCCTTGCACAGCACCTCATTTGGGAAACATTTACTTGCCAGTTTTCCAAGATAGATAAGGTCTGTAGTCATAATTACTCCTTTGAAAGACTGTTTGCCAGGCCTTTGCTGAATGTGAATGAGAGGAATTCACATTCGTTTAATAAAAGGGGTTTTGTCAGGACCAGGACTCTGCTTCGTGCTTTTTGGGGAAGCCTAAATCAGAACAGCAGGTTTGTGAAGAAGCAGTTGGTAACCTTCCAAGTTAAGGCAGAATTTTATATGCAGCCTCCAGTTTCTTTCCTTCCCTGCACTCCGCAAGGATTGCTATCACATCTAGTCTCTCCAATTCAGCCCTATCATTTAATCACCGTGAAGATGGTGAGGAGAGAATATGCTGCAGAAAGATTAAGAAGGTAGCAAAGAAGAGCGGCATTTCGACAGCAGACATTCCTTCCATTACTTCTCAATTTATCATCAAATTTAAAAATTAAATAGTGCAATATCAACACTTCACTTAAACATGAAATACGTATGATTACAGTGTATCATAAATTACCAAGTTTAACATCTCTTGACAAATTAAAATCCGTCTTATTGCTGACATTATTACGCACGCTCAAAACCTGAATAAAGATTAATACTGAAAAGAAATGTTGAAAATTAAGTACTCACATATTCCTTGACATTTTTGGTCTTTACAGCTTTGTAGGAATAATAAGCAGGATACAGCATTCCAAAGACCAACCTATATGTAAAGGAAAATATTTGAATTGAACAAAGGCAGACAGTAATCAGGGTAGTGAAGAGTACATATTACCTAAGGAAAAAAGGAAAAGACGTTCATATTCAGATAAGTGTAATTTCAAACTATGTCTATTCTGATCACAGCTATTGAGCACTGCATTCTCTGTGCATCTCTCATGTGCTCACGCATCAAAACCTGCCTCTTAAAAAATACTGAAAGTTTTTTCACTAAGCACTAAGATTTCAGATCTTTTCATGCCTATTATTTTGCCAGGAAAAGGTAAGAACTACTAGCTGGCTTGAATAGGTGCTATAAGGCTATGAAAGGCTTATACATAAGGAAAAACCAAGTAGAAACAGAAACGATGCATTTCTGAACTAGCCATAGCTTCTTTTTTGACAAAACTGTTTGCTTCAAACAGATAATCTGTCATGTTGTAACTGCTTGACTGCACAATGACTACAAATTAGAGTAAAACATAAAGGTAGACAAGTTGGTTCATTTCTCATTTTCCATGTCAGGGCAAGTGTGATGGAAGAGATCCCATTTTCCACAATTTTGTTCCTAATTACCCTAATCCTGATACTCCAAATGTAGCTCTTTTATTTTAGTACCAGATGTTCGTTATGTAAAGTAGTACCATATTTTTGGAGTATAAGACACACCTTTTTCCCCCCAAAAAGAGGGTGAAAATTTGGGTGTGTCTTATACAATGAATGTAGCCCCATCCACCCCTACCAGAGGCCAAAAAAGTGAGGCATGGAGGCAGTGATGGTCTGTGGCAATCCCTGCAGCCTGCAACAGCTGATTGGGGGTATTCCGGCAGTCCAATCCACCCACCAATCAACTGTACTGAATCAGGCTGCAATAAGTGCTGAAGCTGACCTGGCTGATCAGAGTTTGCAGCAGCAATCACATTCAGAAAGCACGCACAAGCAACTGATTCAGCAGGATTCAAAATAATAACAATATACAATGCAATACCAAAAGCAGGTTTTCCAAGGTAGTAGTAAATACAAGAAAAACACAAGCAGTTTCACTTTCAGTTCTCACCTAAGCCAGGCTCCTTCCTGTCTCCTTGTTGCTCACATAGCAAATATTGTTTCAGAGACAAAACAGCCCTCATTGGCTGACCTTGCTACCATGTGTTCCAAGTCATGAACTCTCACACACTGACCGGAAGCCATGGATGCTGGTAGGCAGAAGCAGAATTTGTTTTCCCCGCCACCCATAACAGGTGGAAAATGGGGTACACAGAGGCCAAAAACGGGGCATGCGGAGGCGGCAATAGGCTATGACAATCCCTGCAGCCTGAAACAGCTGATGGTCGGAAGGCTGATCCAATCGACAATCAGTTGCTTGTGCTAATCAGCTGTACTGAAATTGAAACATGCTGTTTGCTGCAAGGAGGCAAATTGCTGGGAGGCAGTTTTTTTTTCTTGTTTTCCTCCCCAAAAACTAAGCTGCATTGTATACTCCGGAGCATCTTATACTCTGAAAAATTCGGTACTTTGGAGTACATACATAAAAATACCTTATACTTATCTAAAACTACTGGATGTGCTGAGGTATTTCTGAAATGTTAACAGTAGTATAAAATACTAAGCTAAAGAATGAAATGGGAAAACATTCATTTTTCAAGGTAACCTTCCGAAATAAATCTGCTTTGGGATCCAAGGACAAGATGTATAACAGTATGTGTTTAATTATTACAGGTATACTGGCTGGGTCCATATATTATGCTATGCCCTGGTTTATTTGAAGCATGCTTTATTGAAAATGAAACCTAAAATGTACTAGGTTATGGCCTCATGCAATGTGCAAACCAGGCCATTAACTTGATTATGCATTTTTATTATACAATAGCAGAGTTGGAAGGGACTTGGAGGTCTTCTAGTCCAACCCCTTGCCTAGGCAGGAAACCCTATACCATTCTAGACAAATGGCTATCCAACATCTTCTTAAAGACTTCCAGTGTTGGGGCATTCACAACTTCTGGAGGCAATTTGTTCCACTGATTAATTGTTCTAACTGTCAGGAAATTTCTCCTCAGTTCTAAGTTGCTTTTCTCCTTGATTAGTTTCCACCCATTGCTTCTTGTTCTACTCTCAGGTACCTTGGAGAATAGTTTGACTCCCACTTCTTTGTGGCAACCCCTGAGATATTGGAACACTGCTATCATGAACACTGCTAACTGTAGTTGGCCAGTTCCATTATACTTTACACTGCTTTTTCTTCTTACAAATTTATTTAGCTATTTTATAGCCATTGTGATTCTTCTCCATATAAAAATGTTTTCTCTAAACTGGAGAAAATCTGACAAGGAATCTGAAATTGTCAGTGGTGTCAAGCCCCACATCTATGTCCTTTTAACTTACAGGTTATATATAATAATAAAGGAGAGAACCCACATATATTCACACCAACAGCCAACAAACCTATTGCTCCAAGGAACACTTGCCCCAGTTCAAAGTAAGTGGCTAGAAACTAGTTGTAGACACTGAATGGGGTTTTAGAATCTTTTAGAAACAATGAGCCAGGAAAAATATTGGATCCTTACTGCAATCTGATAAATGTATGCATATGAGATAAATCGTATGCCTCTCTGGATCTGTATAGGCAAGCCTTCCTAGGCAAAACTTAGGTATTCAGAATTAAGGTATAATCAGTAGTGACAATGGATGATTGTCTGTTAAAATTAAACTAGATTTACAAACCTGCCTCCATCTCTGAAGAAGTGATTCCTGTTGGGTTGTTTTCCAACCAACCCAGGAAGGAATACAGGAAGAGGAAGAAAGGGAGGAAGGAAGATGAAGGAAGGAAGGAAGGAAGGAAGGAAGGAAGGAAGGAAGGAAGGAAGGAAGGAAAGAAGGAAGGAAGTTGTCAACTCGTGAAGTTTCTCTGACCTGCTCCTGAGTTGCCATAGGCAGGGGGATGGGAAATTGCGCCGCAGTTGCACCAAGGAATTTACTCCTCAGTCATAACAAGATGTATTCAGGCTGACCAGGCCAAGGCCATCTCCATGGATACCAGCAATGCCTGGAAGGTAGTGACTTCTGCAACCCTTGAAATTACTTTGTTGGGGAATGTGACCTGGTGACACACTTTGGGGAGAGGGGGAAACAGGGTCAGAGGCAAGACATGAAAGAGATGAAGACAGAGTTGACTTTATCTAAATAATGCTGATATGGTGCTCCTAGTAAAAGACTGGATTTTTATTGCTGGATGGCTTGAGATTCTTGATTGTGTTAGGGCTCTGGTCAGAACCAGGAAGGAAGGAAGGAAGGAAGGAAGGAAGGAAGGAAGGAAGGAAGGAAGGAAGGAAAGGAAGGAAGGAAGGAAGGAAAGGAAGCAAGCAAGCTTGGAGTTCTTCTAATCCAACCCTTTGCCCAGGAGTTCTGTAAGTTCCATAAGAAGTTATCCATAAGAAAAAATACACCATTATTCTTTTTTAACAGGAAAATATATTCATCTGAACTGAAGAAGCTTCTCGGATGAGAAGTGAAACTTCTTCAAGGAAAAATCCATAGACATCTCCAGCCGAAAATCTATTATAATTTTACCAGCATTTCAGGATTTTTTAAAAGTTGCCCTCTTTCTATAAGGCTTTTTGTTTTTCTAAACTTAAATAGCTAGCGTCTATTTAACACTTGGGGTTTCCATGGTAGCCCAGTGAACTATGCTTTAAATCAGCAGATGGTTGTTTTCAATTCAAAACAGAAGTTGGCAGCAGCCCAACTCTTTCAAGTATTTCCTAAGGCTTCTATGGCTGTGGAAAAACAGGTTTAGAGCAAATGTATACAACAGTTTATTAAGCTAGACTGCATGTAAAGTAATAAAGTCATAACCCATTTACATTAATCTCCAACATGTTCTGACACTAGGCCCTACCTACGTTAACCATCTAGAAGCCCAACTTAATTCTTCATTGCTTGTAACCATACAGCGATATAACCTTTCCAAGAGAATAAAAACGGTAATAAAAGCAGCCACGTATTTTCTTAATCAAAACCAAATAGCAGTTTTAGACAGTTTCTTAAACTCTTCCATCAGGAAATGGCAAATTCTTGGTTTATACAATAACAAGATCAATTTTGTGACTTTCTCTACAAGCCAACCCCATAAACTATTCTTTCTCCATCACATTTTAAGGTAAAGGTTCCCCCGCACATACGTGCTAGTTGTTCCCAACTCTAGGGGGTGGTGCTCATCTCCGATTCAAAGCCAAAGAGCCAGCGATGTCCGAAGACGTCTCCATGGTCATGTGATTGGCATGACTAAAAGCCAAAGGTGCACGGAACACTGTTACCTTCCCACCAAAGGTGGTTCCTATTTTTCTACTTGCATTTTTACATGGTTTCAAACTCCTAGGTTGGTAGAAGCTGGGACAAGTAACAGGAGCTCACTCCATTACGCAGTGCTAGGGATTTGAACTGCCGACCTTTCTGATCAACAAGCTCAGCGTCTTAGTCACTGAACCACCGCGTGCCTCCCGCCACATCTTAACTGGAAGCATTTGGGGGGTGGGGGAAGGAGGGGAGGTTTGATGGTGATCATTTAATGCACTATCAATACGTTTTTCCAATTTTCTATTTTGTAAAAATTTGCACTTTGTGAATATTCAGCATGAATGCTTGAGTATAAGGGTACTTAATGAATCTTCCTTTACTGGATGCAGAGTTGAAGGTGACTTTGGAATAATAGTCATGATAATTGACCAGATTATTGCGAGTTGAAGTCACAGTTGCATTGAACCGTCAGATCTGGTATTTGTCTTGAAGCAGAGGATATTATCATTATTGTTTGTCATGGTCAAATTACTCCCAAGTGGCCTTGGTATTCTTTGTAGCTACCCCTTGCCACAGGGAGAAAGAACCTGTTCAACTGGTCTGATCAGGTGCGTTATGGACCCTGCTGGGTTTCCAAGGGAATTTGAGTGGGTCCTGAGGCTCTATGCTTCAGTTGCTCAGAACAAGTTGGCAGTGATGGCCTTAGACAGAATCACAC